TTCTGGAATGACCCATATCATCAGAGCCCAACGTATTTAAAAATTAGTGAGAACATGCAAAACAAGGAACAAGATGGAAAATTAAATTCAGTCCACCACTCCTACTGCACACTGTGTAAAATTCGGACAGTATTTTGTACGTGTGTATCTGTGCTTTGTGTATGTTTCCTGGTTTCTCATACGTCATTCCTCTGCATTACCTAGTTTGTTCCATTGCAGTAAGTTTCAATTCACTTGGTTTTCCCTACTGGTGCAAAAGGTTGGAGAAAAAATACCACTTTAAACTTACTTGAATATTTGTAAGGAATAGACAAATGTTGTCCAACTGGAAATGTTTCAGTAAGCGTGGGCGACATTGGTTTAATTTTGTTTCCAAGCTTCTTCTGTTCTCTATACTGGAACCCACATGTAAGCAGTCTGTGTGCTTGCAAGCATTCAAGGGCAGATTGTATGCCTCAAGTCAATGACTTGGCTTACAGTCACGACACTACTGGCTGTCATGACTCAGATCTGACAACTGTGACTAATGGGTCATTCTACAAATTCAGGGTCCAAAAGTGTGACATATTTGTGTCCCTGTTACCCCAGACCTGTGTAATTTGACATGGAAATACCACTCTAATTGATTTCAAACTACATGTATTTCTGCATGCATTTGTTTGGCAGGTAATGTGCATTAAGTCATCACTCTTGGAAATTAAATGTGTTCTGAGCTTACAAAATCATGTCAGATGTGACACAGACAGGAAAAAAACTAGGACCCTTAATTTATAGAATGACGCTCACACACTAATTTCAAAAACAATCTACAGCGCTTTTTGGGGCGATATTACAAAACACAATTCTAACCATTCATGTATTTTGTAATTCAGCCAGAGTGTGGAATAACATTAAGCATGTATCCACAATTGCACATTTGAGACACCAAGATCCTGTCAAAGCAGTGTTATGTCCCGACAGTGCCTACTCCCCTAATTTTGTCCAAAACCAACTCGGGGCATAGCCAACTTTGTCAACAGAGTTTGGCATGCCCGAAGTTGGCAATGGACAAAGCTGGGCCAGTAGACAGTATTTGGATATATGTACATGTTACAGCATCACACTGCGTATTTGTCACAATACATACACATATACCATGCATATTGTACAGTTCAACTAAGGGCATAAAGACAAAGTCTGTGTTAAGAAAAGTGCTGAAGCTTTACTGACTCAGGGGGGATGTCTGGAGCAGCATCAGCCCCTGATGGTCCAGCCGAGGCTCCTGATGGACCGGCCGAAGCCCCTGCCTCAGCAGTCTCCACAGCGCCCTCTAGCTGCATACCAATGGCCATCTCCAGGTTGCCGTTGCACACTTCAAGCAAGCGACGACCAATATCTTCAGTTGCACCTGATTACAAGGGAAAAAAAGCCATTGTGAATATAGGTTTGGCGGTGATGGTGCAGACTAAAAGAAATCAAATTTCATATTGGAAACAAACTGAACCAAATGAAAATACGACACCTCCTTGGAAATGTGTGACTGTACATGTACTGGTACTATGCTGTCAATGCTGCTCTGTGATTTACTAAGGCAGGAACGACGAGACACAGTTGTCAACGTACATCTATGTACAAGCTGGTCTGGGTACCAGGGCAACTGGTCGGCATACGAGTTGGCATGTGTATGAGTTGACCAGCATTCATACATGTACATGCAGCCTTGTAGGCCTAGGGCCATAGGCCTCAGGTTTATTTTCACCACTGAACATGCTGAAAGATCACAAAGCTCCTGGCATGCCTGGTCATGCTGGTTATCACAGACAGCTAAAATCAGTTGCGTCCTTCCACCACAAAGCTAAGTGGTCAGCAAGGTAAGACATAGCCTAGATAGGGACATGCATAAATGAGTGAGGGCGCTAGGGAATTCATTTTCTTAAACATCCGTTAAATAGAAAATTGTGATCAAAATGTGTCTTTTTCCGCAGGCTCTAACCAGCTAATGTAGCTCCTTGATTTAATTTTCAATTTTAAATTTTTTGAAATTTCAAGTGAAGCCAACATCCAATTCACTGAAATAAGGCACAAATGCATTGTAACAAAACGATTTTGTGAAAATATGAATTAGAAGCTATTCAGGCAAAATACTCAGTCATTTTTGCGTTAAAATACCACAGTTTTCTCTGCATTAGAGTTTACATAAGTACAAAAAGGTCCCAAAACATTTCAAACTACCCGTAAGTACATGTACTTTAAATCAATATTTCTTTGCTTTGCAAGGAACAATGGAAATCCAAACTTATATCAAAATGTTTCTTATGACATGCATGACGTAAGATCAGGTCTTAACTAAAAAGAAAACAGAACAAACAAGTAGTTGAACAATTTTTGCTAACATAGACGTAGGCCTACCAAAAACTTGAATCAACTACCCTGCTGAATTCATTACATGTACATGCATTACGAGGAGCTTAGCTGGTGCAACTATATTTTAGTAGTACTAGTTAAACCACCACGACTATGGACGATCTGCAAACCGAAGTTTCATACCACACCTTCCAAACATGATGATCTTCAAATCATATTTCTACAGACACTATTCGTGCTGTTTCAATCAAAGCTGTATGGAATACCTGTGATTGCAGCGAACTGCTTGGCAAGACCATCCATTGCCGTGCTTTTCGACTTCCCGCGGGACGCCATCTTCGTTATTGTCGAGCTGGGATTTTCTCCATAACTCGCAAGAGGGCGCCTTTCCACGCCACCACAGACATTAAGATAGACCAAAGATTGTGTAGCGCCGCGCGGCGCGCGCTATACAGTCTTTGGACATGACCTACGCTGGACCGGCTAGGCCAGTGACAACATAAACATATGTTGAACAAAAGTGCCGGCTGTGCATCGTGTGATGACTGTGGGAGTTGCTTGTCTTTCTCGTGAAAATCCACCAGCAGGACCAGGGTAATAACGACAGTACGGTCATTCGTGACCAAAACGATCCTACTTTCAAGTATTCTAAAAATCTAATCAGATATGTCAGAGGAAAGGTTCCTCGTCCAGCTACTACTAGTACTACTACTACTACTAGCTGCCTCCTACTGAATGTACTACATACATGTACATTATGTTGGCCATGCATAGGCTACCTGGCAGAAGTGTCATGACCAAAGATTATATAGCGAAGCGATGCAAGATGGGTAATTTGGCCATAAAGGTGTTATCACCATGGGCGCCATTCGAGTGTGAACTTTGACGTGTGCCTGCCGGGGCGCCTGTGCATTAACATGCACTGCGCAGGCATAGTCCAACCAGAATGGTGCCCATGTGATAACAACGTTTTACGCGTATTCATGGTGAAAACGTTTTACGCGTATTCATGGTGAAGTTCCCCATACGATCTTTGGTCATGACTGTAGTGCTGCAGTTGGGCTAGCCTAACTATTGTTGACCAATGTCTGTGGCAAATGTCTCAACATTATCCAAGTCAATGTGTCTCACTCTTGACACAAATTACCTAAAATGTGAAACTTCATCTGTTCATCTAGCCCTATGACCAATGACATGACATTTGTAAACAATATGACATGCTGGGCACATCATGCACACAGGACCTCTCGGTCGTAGTTGGGCCGGCCCAACTGTAATGGTCTAGTTGGGACGGGTCCAACTAATGTGTGCATCCCATGTAGCCCCCCTCCCCCGGGACATTTCGCCCCAGTTACGCCACTGCTTGCCCTCTACGATATGTTGGATATGAAACCTACCCAGTCCAGTAGAAAATTTATTCAATGCTGCAAAGGATTAAAGTTTACCAACGACAAGCCTGTGAGCCACCATAGTAAAATAATTTGGCTCTGTTTCATTCTTTGACTACATTGTATTTGTGAATTTCAATATGAATCTCGATACTATTCTGTAAAAACAGATTTATTTTGGGGTCATTTTTAGTTCTGAAAAGAGCAGTTTTTAATGTTTACGGTCATTCGACTCCAGAGTTCAGATTAAAACCAACAACACGTCAAATTGCAGTGCAGGAATTGGTTGGTGCACAAGTTGGTCAGTGTACCGAGTCGGTCAGTGAAGGAGTTGACCAGTCCAAGTACAAATTGTTCAGTGTACAAGTGAGCATGCGTACAAGTTGACCTGTTGCCAACCATAGTTGGGACTGACCCAAGTATAGTTGAGGCCGTGGCCGTAAACAGTGAGACCTAGTCTCCTAGAAGGGGCTCTTCACATCTACATGTACTTGTATTGATAACTTGACTTTAATTTTGTTGTCTTTTTTTTCAGCTGCCACCATGGGAGCTGTAGTGTCATCGACTAATGGCGGTGATCACGGTGGCATTGTTGCAGAATTAACACATCCAATGAAAGGTGATTGGCTAAGTCAACATGTCGTGGCTTGCAATGGTAAGCAAAGTTGTAGACTTGAGTCACTTGACTTGAACTCGAGTCGCTACTTTTGTGACTCACAACTTGACTTGCAACTATAACATTTTGACTTGTGACTTGACTTGGACTTGTAAAAAATGACTTGTGACTTGACTTGGACTTGTAAAAAATGACTTGTGACTTGACTTGAACTTGCAAAAATTGACTTGTTACCACCTCTGATGGTAAGTATCTAATTTCCATGGAAGTGCACGCATAATCATACTCAACATTCGTCAGATTTTTTCTTTAAATAGATATAAAGCCTTCACAGGGAAACTAAAGTTTCAGGGGGCCAAACTTGTTTATTAGGGAACCAAAACATTTAGGAAATTTTTCATTGTAAACTTTTGTGGTCTCTTTCTCTGGGGCTATTTTTGGACACTTTTTGAAGGAACTTGGAATTTAATGGACTAAGCAAATGGCCGTTCATTATTTTTCACAAACATGGGGGGAGGGATATTGTCTCTTTAGTCCCCTCCCCCCCGATCACCTTCACATGCAGTTGTATTGCTTCTGTGTATAGAGGTATAATTCTGTTACCAGCTATTTCGGCCCAGAAACTTGTCATTTGGGTCAGTTTAGCTCTGATCTTCATTTAATGTGGCATAAACAGATAAAAACGATCAGCACACCAATCAAAACACTGAGTTTCCAAAGTCACTGATTCAACTTTATGCTGTCATTTAAATACATACATGTTCATGCGTACCCTTTTATTTACAGTGTCTAAGCATGAGGCGGCACATTTGTGGGAGCGGTTTAAAGAACTGGGATGCAATGAGGATGGAGAACTCAGCGGAGAGACGCTGAGAACAGCTTGCAGTGCCAACACTATGGCGGCCAAGGTACCTTTAACAATGAGCCAGAGTTTGGGGACATTGCCAACTGCTTTGATGGAAGAGCTGCGCTTTTTTTTAACACTTGAAACTCAAGAGATGTGGACCAGCTGTTGCTTTTATGTTGAGCCAAAAATATCCAATGGTTTTTTCCACCTGTTTTTGGTTTGTTTCTTATTTATGAGGGGATGCCTGGCTGATCCCCTCCAGTTCTTGCCTTGCATCCATGAATGAATACGGTTGTCTTTTGGGGGGGATAATGTTGAGAGATAGGAGGTGATTTGGAAGAGTGTTCTTGGCCCAAGCATTATTTAGATGGCATTTAATACTGCATACATATAATTTGTCCTCTTAATTACATGTAAACGGTAAGGTTTTAATTGTGCAATGGTTGTGACAACAGTGGTAACGATCACAGTGAATGAAGACGCAGAATTGGCTCAGGTCGCGTCATCCCAATTCCAAGATCACAAATGTCACGTTCAGCCACCTGGCAAATTTCAGTGCTCTTCCTTCCGTTGGTATATTCTTACATCCAGTACAGATGCGTAGCACAGCGTCCCAGCTTCCTTGCAGTGTTGAATATTTCAATTTGAACCTGATTGCTTGGAGCCACCTCCGGTCTCCAAACTCTGATGACCCTGCATAGTGCAGTTAGCCAAAGCACCCGACACATACATTGCGTCTACTTCCTTAGGGCATGCAGCATATACATGTGTATATCTGCACTTTTGTTTGCCTCCTGTAGCTCTGTCAGATGGAAGGGTGCTGTGTCTGCCTGGCATTGCAAACTCATCACCAGACAATTAGGACTGTAGGACCAGATTTCCAACAAAAATTGTAATGAAATGATTTTCCTTTTGTTTTCATGACGTTTGCAGATTTTGGAGATGATGCCCAGATCTAAAGACAACGTGTTGACATTCCAGACGTTTTGCAACATGTCGCGCTGGTTGGCGGATGCCAACATTGAAAAGAAAATAAGAGGTGAGATCAGAAACATTGCAGAGTATCCCCGAGAGGCCCCGTCTCGTTATACCGTTTTCAGTGCACAAGGGGATTTTACCTTTTTGTTTCTTTCGTTTTCATTTTTGTTTGATTTTTTTCCTTCCTTATTTAATTTTCTAGTCTTCATATTCACAGCTGTGTTCCAGTGTTTGAATAAGGGCCACGCTCTTGACCTAGCCATCGTGACTGACATTTTGAGTGAGATTTATTGTGACGAGAGCAAGGTAAGTTTTGCTTGTAAGAAGTTCTTTCAAGCCATCAGAAATTCTTGTTATGTGTTTCAAGTTCTTTTCTTTTTCTTTCTCTTTTTTTCTCATTTTCTCTTTCAAGATATCATTATTTAGATTTTGTTAAACCAAGGCAATTGATAAGAACCCATGTACGTGCATTTTACATAAACATAATATCAGAGAGGAAATTGCCTTAGTTTACTGTTACGGTTTTCATTAAACAAAGGAATATGATTGAAAAATAAATCTGAACGCTACCCCCCCATAAAAATGCTGATGCTCTATGGTCGCAACTACGGTACTTTGTATTTAGTCCAGCAATCAAGGCAATTGCCATAGCAGAGTAGAAAGTGGCATATCATTGAAAGTACATGTAGCATGGTTGACCAGCAGTTAACACCATCCTTGGATGTAAAGCAGGTTACCACACAACTGCTTTGACAGATGCATGCTCATCTTTGATCATCAGCAAGGGTCATGTCCTTCAGATGGGGTGTACTGTAAGTCATACGTGTACATGTAGGCCTAGGCCCCATCATGCATGATGTGATTGCATGTTACAGATATACATGATTGGAGAACTCACAAAACCTTTCTTGACAGTAGACTGGCTTACTGTGGTATATCTGGCCGGCAGCATGATGCCAAACAAAGGCAAAAACATGCTAGGGAAATAACCAATATATCGCATTGTATCCCAACAGCAATTTTTAGCTTCTAAATATCTGTTTTTGGATACGTGAAAGGTTGAATGAGATTAAAGGTCACTAATTGATTTTGCTTGTTGCACTCTTTTCACCTCAGGTTTAGCATTTCAAAATTCTTGTCAAAATTAAAGTGGCTGATGATTTTTTTGGAAAAATGTCAAGCAGTGACATGGTCCTCTCCCGCCTAAACAACAGATTGCTAACAAGACATAATTTCTTGTTGATTTATCTCATTCTCACCTAGCTTTACGTTTTATCCCTTTTATTCCACATGCCAAATATTTTAAGCAAAAACTTGTTTGTAACAGTTCCATTTGTCGGTTTCCATGATATCTTGGATTGAGAAGCCTGAAACAAGGAGAAAGGATTTTAAGTGAAATAAATAATCATGGCGCGCATAGTTGTTTACATTCTATTAGATATTTTCATTTCATTTTATAAAATAAGTTTTCATTGCTTACAATGTATTGTGCATATCATTTTACTGTTGATGTACCTTTGGAGCTAGCTGCCTTGACAATTTTTATGTAGTCACACTTTGGTTCTTTGTACAATGATACGATACACTGAATAAAACAGTATTTATTTGCAGGAGGTCATTGACAGATCGGCCAAGGTTTTTATACATCAGGTGGGCGATATCGCATCCCACTCCATCAGTGAGCAACAGTTTGTCAACTGGGCCATGGAACTACCCCAGGACACGCTGCAGACCATCATGGACTTCAAGTGCTCTCCTAATAACGACACCGTAGAGCAGGTCAGTGGGGTCCACAAAGTCTGAGAAAATGAGCGAGTACGTTCTCGCTTGCTGTAAGTCAAAGAAACAATTCTCCTCAAGGTTCCTATCGTAGCTTTTGATCCACATTTTCCAGGGAAGTGTCGTGCGTGCAAGATGTCATGAATGTCTTTTTAGCAACATTGTTAAGGTTCATTGTGCCACTGTTAAACTAATGGATTATTCTCATTTTCATATGTTGCCATAGGACACGTTGTTAACATCTACTGAGCAACTGGAATTGACTTCCAAGACACAATGTACTCATTCCTTGCTTCCCATGGAAATTCAGTCATTGGCCTCACCGTTACTGTTTTTTACAGTGGAATATAAACAATGTAGCATTGCTGATTTTGAGACTGCATTTTACCATACTGCATTTAATTTTAAATTATTTTATTGTAGAAAATGTGATTCTAAACAAACCTGATTGCATATATTTTCCGGCGCTTTGTACCGCCGCACTTGTATTTAGCGGCCCCTTGGCATTTTCAAGGCCAGTAAGCCCCATACCAAACCGAAATGTTGCTATTAAAGTGAGTGTTGAATGGACGTGGAATGTTGTTTTGTCACTCACAGGCCTCCAGCAGCAACCCCGTCACAGGATCCAAGAGAACGCCCACTACCAAAGATATGCTTAAAGTGTCCAGAATGGCCAGCCGTAAAGACTGGATGCTGCTGGCTAACAAGCTAGGCTTTACTCAGGACGATATAAATCTGATCAAGGAAGAGGCACCTGGAGACGCCAAAGAACAGGTGAGAACCCTGATATTATTGTTCTTCATATTAGTGCTTCTGCAGCCACTATGTAACCCCCCCCCCATCCTTACCATGCTTGACAGGTTTTAGTCCAGAGAGGGGCCAAACGAGGATGACTGTTTAATCGAAATGATGATCCAGATATTTTTCATCCTTATCAATGTTTCTCCATCCAGAAGAAAGCAGTATTAGCTATTCTAAAAATGCTGGCACTTCTGCTAAAGAAAACAGAATTGGCAACGCTGCCAAGGGGGCTACTATTACGCCACTGCCTTTTTCACTATCGGGTTTGCAAGGGACTTTTTCACACACACGGATGCACCACAATTTGCAGGTTCCCGTTGGACGATTGCCAAAGTAGCTTGGTAACTTCCGATTCCATGCAAACGGCGATCAATGCATGTAACTCCATGTGCAGTGCAAGTGATGTCACACGAACCGGATACTCTTCTGTGTACGAGATAGCAGTTTGTACATGAATTGGTGTTGTTCATGTGTAGGTACAACAACTGCTGTTGCTGTGGACGCAGAGGAATGGGGAGCAGGCCACTGTGTCTGTTCTAAGGGAAGCACTGCAAGGCAGCAGGATGACAGAGATTGCTGACAGTCTGGACACCAGTGCTTGATGAGTGCTTGCCAGTGAACCATTTAAAACATAATAATAGCATGCCATACTGTCCATTCCAGACTTTGGAGTCTGGGTACCTAACAGGCTCTTTTGTGTTCCCATGGGCATTGGGGCCACCACTTATTCACCCAACACCCGTGACACCTCAAGATGCTTCTGCTAACAACCCTCTCAAATATTGGTCCAAATCCTCCTCAAGCATGCTTAGATGAACTATTGGCACACCTCTGCAGAGGATAGTTGTGGTCATGACATTGTCCAGTTGTGTACGACCCACAGCGCAAAACGCTTACACTGTATGCAAAACAATGTCAAATGTGAGTCAAGTCTAATGTTTTTAATGTCAAAGCAGGATTTCAAAGTCAATATTTTAGGTGAAAAAGTGATTTTGAAATTGTCTTGACAAGGTCTTACCCCCTGTTCAGTAGATTGTCCTGAAAAGTTGTACACGCAAGACGGTCATGCCAACTAGTATTTGTTCATGTTAGCCTGGTATTGATATTGCAGGTCAGTTTGGAGTTTCCTGTTCTAAGGATGTTTGTTAAATGCTGTTCAACTCAGACGCTGTTCTTTCTATTGTTGTACAGAAACAGAGTGTTATTTTAAGAGAAGTCTTTTGGCTCTAACAAATTATATTGTACATTTTGAAATAAATGTTGTCTTTTGCGATGGTTAATGGAGCCTAGTCTATCTTGGCCCTACACGGTCTATCTGTAAAAACAGGGGCATATCCAGGGAGAACTACCCCGCCGCTAGAGTTTACGCATTGGTGGTGCTTAGAGTCTGTTCTTTTTTTTAATATTGTTACAATGAGTGCACAAAGGAAGAAAGAAATACCCTCTAATGTGACATCATATGTACAGAGCAGAGGGGCTTGTCCAAAAAAACAATCCGAAACAAAACAAACTCATAAAGCTCAACCTTTATGATGTCAGAACAGAGGAACTTTGGATTTCCCTTCCCTCGCTGACATCAAAAACTGAATATGCAAGTGTTTGGGGGATACACTAAACCCCCCAAAAATGTGTATTCAATTTTATGGAGTGTGACTCTTTCAACAACTCTTTTTGTATGTGTGCTGTAATTTGAGGTCTTAAAAAGATATGTAAATGTTTTTGCCTTAGAGGGAGTTGTTTTACGTGCAATAATATTTGAATTGAAGGCAGTTTAATCTTTTATTAATTGCTGTCTATTTCCAAAGTTAAAATGAGTTAATTGCTTTATTGTTTGAGTGCATTTCAATTTTACATGTATATTACCTTTTGTGGCAATTCTTTAGACGATTTATTGTACATAAAAACAGAGGGAATTTTATGAGTTACTTGTACATGTCTTGTTTTAAAAGTTACACGGTTGGTACAGCTTTGTCATTCAAATTAATGTATTTTCCAACGAATGTTGAAAATTTGAAGTAGTATTATGGAGGTACTAGCTGCATAAAGTAATGATAAACACTGGACATACATGTACATGTAGGTCAACAGGCATTTGCTGCAGTTAGGTCAGTATACAGAAGTTAATAGTCATAGGTCAAGAAGCGTATGTAGTTGCAACTTTAAATTTGTTTCGGTACTGTGGGCTCCATTGACAGTGTCATTACGTTGGACACCGAAGTAAAAAATGTTGACACTTGGAGCAGGATGCAATTATTTTGGGGGTTTTTTTTACCAGTTCATTTTGTCCATGATGCTTTGAAGATACTTTTTCTCTTCCAAAATAAATCATCCCCAACCTATCCCCACTGGTGGCAAAAAAGTGTGTGGGGGGCACTTTTTTGACTGGGGGGCATGCCCCCTAATGGGATGGCCAGTGGGGCTTCATGGATCAGCCTATTAATGGCTGATGAATGATGGTCTAACAACTGCCCCCCCCACATTTCAGTTCGGTTCATTTTATTTCCTGGCATTTATACATGTCAAAACAGTGAACCCATTAACACTTTTAAATGAAGCAAGTAATCGATAGTAAGTGGAGAGGGTCTCCAAAAAGCACAGCTTGTAAATCAGGGACCCCCTTGGAATTGAAAATCGTTCCGCCGCTGCTGCCTACCCCTCACATAAAAGTAACTTTTTAAATGTCTGTTCGCTAATCTCTTTTTCCCTCAGATTGTGCCCTCAGCGGGCTGCAATAAAAAGAAACGGATATGTCACCTCTCTCACATACCACAGCTCTGCTACATGTATGTGCCTCTTTCATTCAAGAAAATAAATTTGAGCATCTGCAAACTTAGCTTGTCGTATTTTTCTTTTATTTGTCGATACATGTATCAAGTCAACAAATGGGGGTGTCATGACTGGGCCAAAGTGCACTTAAGTGCTCAACTTCGTAAATCGGAATATGCGTGATGGGCAACACGCACACCATGCCAGAATGCGTAATTGAACACACAATGTGTGGTCATGAATATTTGTTGCTACGGGTACAAGTGTAGTTCTTTTGGCCATGTGACTGGCTCGATTCTTGGCCAATAAACTAAAAGTACAGAATCTGTGGGTGAGCTAGGCATTATCTCAGTGGTTCGTAAGTGACTTAGTCATACACTCGCATGCACTATTGATTGCAAGCTTCCATTGGATGAGCCCGCAAGTTGCGTGTTAACTGCCGATTCCATAGTTCCATGTGCAGTGGGCATAGTTTAACTTGTATTGAATAAGCTGATTTCACACTTTTGAACTGGTACATGTGAAGCCATTTTGTACCAAGGAGTGCCATGCAAACGAATGGAGTGCGCACTTGTTGGTTCACGGGCTGGTTCTGGCATTAATGCCTTTTTACACACAATTATGCATGTGACGCATTCAGGCTTCAGGGACTTAACCGTGGCTTTGTGGTTTAAGCACTGCAGGGACCATAAATGTTTAGCCAGTCTGTATATTGAATCTAATGTATTTGTGGCGTTCAGTTGGGGGTTTATGACTGATAATACATTCACTACTTTCGTGAAATACGATGGTTGCTGACAAAATTAAAGGTCGTGTACTATCAAAATTCCCGCCAACTGTAGATCATTTATTAAAGTCCAAGGGCGCCCTCTTTTGAATGGCATGTTCCATTTGGATGTTTTGTCAGACAAATACCATGACAACTGACTTTCAGAGTTTTCCTCTTCTACATCAAACGTTGATTGATCTGGTTACGTTGAATTGTTTACAGGTTTTGGTTTTTTTTTCAAAGTTTTGATAAGAGTTCGAGCCCGCCTGTAGCTAGCTGTGGTTTATGTGATAGACGCGCTCTCGTACCGTATCAGACTAGTTTGCACCATAGAGCAAATCCTTGCTCTTTGCGCATGCGTTGCTTACATGGAGTAGATATAACGGGTGACACACCACAAGTCCACTCCCATTTGCGCCTCCACCACGCGTCTAAGTGGCATGTGTCCTGTGTAGTAAGAAGCACGCTACTGGTAACCATTAACAGTTGTCTTCACCACAAAAAATGGCAATTTTTTCAGAGTACCAGTGAAAAGCTCGGTCAATTGAGCCTCCTAATAAAAGACCCTCTGCTTCAATGATAAAATTTGTCTATCGGTATAATTCTTTAAATAGTACTCGGAAGTCTCTCAGTGTTTCCTTAAAAGTGAAACCAGATAAAATTTGTTCAGTTTGTATTTCAGTTTTTTAGCTCATTCGAAAATTCCTGGCCAAAAGATATCGGTCAAAGGTCAACCTGTTCATTTTAGGAAGGTGCATCGTACATGTGCAAGGTGCAAGCACTCGTTTGTATATGAATTTTTTGCACTGTACTTCCGGATATTTGGCGTGGTGCAGCACATACGATAGAAGGTCCATTTGGTTTTCCGTGTTGAGGTAAGTTGTGAGATTTTTCTGTGGTAAACTCCGTCTCAAAAATTTGTTTTCTCCAAATATCAGGAACGTGATGAATACACTTTTTAATTTTGAAACCTTTTCCGTCGACATTCTGGCTTCTTTTGCAACGATAAATTGCTTGAATTGTTTACAACGCGTAGCGACGATTCAGGGCGATATCTTTTATTGTGTCTTTTTGGCCCTAGCTACATGTATGCCAATCAATCATGCCTATGTTACTATGTACAGTATGTGATCATGTAGCGTGTCTGCTGTTGCTTCACCTATGGAGGTACATGTACATGCCTGTAGTGAGCTGTACGGTAAGACTCCATATAGCAAAGGCCTATTTTTATGGACATGATTAATTTTCCTGTGTAATGGTTTGTTAGCCATCAGAATGTGATAGAATGCCCTTAATGCCAAATTTAGCATGAAATATACATGAATGTCGAATCATTGACATGATTGATTGCATGTACATGTAAGTCTAAGAACCATGACTCAGTGTAACAGTGTTACATGTAGGATGTAGGGTATGTCTCTTTGTGCACAGTGCCTAGTGATAGTGTGATGTTTGTGTGTGGTGTATGCACGGAGGTAGAAATACGGTGAATGGAACTCTTTCTGTATCAGCCTTGATTGATACTTTCCTTGTGAAGTTCAGGAAACAACACGATGGTCCCATCACTGATTATAAAATTTTATACATGCATGAAATAATTCATGGCATATGAGATTTTGGGTCATCTCATACCCGAGTCGAAGTTAACTTGTACCCGGGTCAACTTGTACCCTGGTCAACTCGTACCCGGGTCAAGTCGTACCCAAGTTAACTTGTACCCCTTTCATTAGTCAGTACAAGTGATTGGATTTCAACAAATAGTTTTTTTCTCAGAATTAGTTTCAGAATATAAGGCAGTGCGAACATACATTTACCCTGCGATTGTTGGTAAAAACAACGGGAACGACTCTATTACGAGAAAATTTTTAAAAATATATTTCAAATAGTTAATTATTATTAAACTTTAAAAAAACTGAAAATAATTCATTTTTTATTCTTTGCAGGTAAAGCATACATGTATCTCTTTTTGGAAAATGTGGTGGCCCTGAAAAGGGCTGTTTGGTTTGATAGCGGTTGCCCTGAAAAGGGCTGTTTGGTTTGGTTGGCCTACAGTGCGGGACCATTCAGGTACTAGATGGCTGAAGTTGAGCTTCATTCTCCCAAGACTACCCAAGTGGGAAGGTTGATGGCCAGTCCCCAAATACTCCCAAAATGGTGATGCATACTACGCCCGCAAAAAAAAAAGTTACACTTTTTTCTAATTGTCTATCAAATTTTATTGCGAAAAGAAGTCACTCAAAACATTTACAATCGTAAACAGCACATCATTAATACATTTATTTTACTGGCCCATGTGCTTCTGGTCATACAGTACTGTCGCAAACTGTACTATAAATTTTGTGATAGAACTGTTTGGCTGGAGGTGCTCGGGCTATTATTTTACTAATTCACGAAGAAAAGAAGTCACTCAAATTATTGCATGCCAAAAGCTGCAATTTCAGTCGTGCTTGTTTCCATTTTGTTCATGCTTATACTGCACGCTGTACTTGTATTCGAATTTGTTTTCCAACAACGTTCAACGTCTGCCGCATAGCCCGCTCTGATGTACAGTGTGACCATTGGCATCAAGACTTCACAGGATCATCTCTAAAAAAAAAAAGAGAAAACATGGCGACGGCAGTAACAATTCAACAAATGATATTTTTTCATATTCATTATCTTGATTTAATATTCCCAACAATACATGTCAACAGAGCAGAGAATATACATGTAGGAATGCACCGTCATTTCTGTCGTCATTTGCGGCCAGGAGAAATGCTTCCATTGGTCAGATTCAATGTGGAAATTCATAGGGTACGAGTTAACTTGGATACGACTTGACCGGGTACAAGTTAACCTGGGTACAACTTGACGCGGGTACGACTTGACTTGGGTACGACTTAACTTGGGTGTAAATTTTGGGGTACGAGCTGACTCGGGTTCGAGTTGACCCGCTACTGCATATGATACCGACTATGATACTGAAAGTGACCACCAATCAGATGGTGGGGATTTATGAAGGTGTACAATATTGAACGCAAATTTATGTGAACTCTTGAGGGGACTCTGTAGGTGTATTGAGACTCTGTCTGCGAGAAAAAAAGCTGTGCACGGCAATATGCTCACACAAATGAAAGTTAGACATTTCTTGGTGTTAATGCACATGTACGTATTATTTTAAGCCATTTTATGAAGTTCTTTTAAATTTCACAGTGTACATTAGCCATGTTTGTTAAGGCCTCAGATTAATGAGCCAATTTTGCTTAATACATGTACTTAGGAGGCCAGTTTCCTGTAGCTGTAGCTCGCAAGCCTGGAAAAAACCTAGTACAGTAGACAATGAGAAGCAGTCTTAGTTTTAGTGGTGGGAAGAAAGCCCCAGAGGAATGTTCTGGGTAAAATCCTCGGAATCAGGTAGGGACTGAAAACCCAATCCACATGTGGTCCGAGTCGGGAATCGAACCCGGACCGTAGAGGTGGAAGGTGAGGAAAGAACCATTACACCAACCTAACTCCCCTGTTATTCACAGGTTAGATGCCTGTGAACTCCAAACAAAATGTACATGTATCATGAACATGTACATGTAGCATCACTCTAACTGATGTAAGCTGGGTTGCTCTGTCAGCCTGTGTAAAACAAGGCACAGAACTGCCAGTATTATGCCATCATTGCTATGGGCCAAACCTAGTCAAATCGTGAATCACCCACACATGTTAATATGCTCATCCTGTGGGAACGTTCTGCGCAGCACTGTGAGTACCCCTTGCAGATGGTTGGATCTCTAAATTGATTGCTTGTCGGTGTTCATGTACGTTATCCTGTTTTCTAACCAGTCACCACTTGTTACATGTACATGTTTCAATGCAAACTTGTGAATTTGATAGTATTTCAGTTCATTGTAAAGGCTTACTCACATGTACTTCACACTTCGGATGATATTACTGCAAAATTGTAGGGTTGGCATTTTACATGGGGTTTTGAAGTGGCTTTTGATCTCATTTTAATTTTTTTTTTCAAGTTTTTTTCACAATAACATACCAGTGCATGTGCCAATACATCTACAGTACCTCTGTTGTGCTCATGCACAGAAGTCAGATGAGATTTGATAAATTCAAATGACAATAATTGACAAGTGTAGTGCCGTTCCCATGAAGTTACAGGTGCAGGATCACAAAAGTTGGTAATAATGGCAGATTTTAAAAGTGATAATATTGGTCGCAAGCCACTGTTGCGTGGTAAATTATGGATGCCATGTTTGTACTAGTTCCTGTCTGTGTACATGTACATGTTCTAGAACACATACATGTACATGTATATACATTGTGTACATGTACATGTATGTACATGTACATTGTACCTTACCCTCTGCACTGTAAACCGGTAGCACGATGCATGTACACGCGTCATGCATGTCATGTACACACATTTTGTGCAAGGTAGGGGAATGTGGTTACACGCTGCACATGTTCATCTGGATTGTTCATGCACACTTGCTTGTCATACATGTATACTTAATTACTCCAGTACTTTAGCTTTACTTTTACTTAGATTACTTAACTTTCACCTTTTCTATGTATACTCAATGTCACCTTTTCTATATTCAATGCACATGCAGATCCTTAATTACATACATGTACATGTACCTGTACTTCAACACCAGCCTCATGTAATCATCGTACGGTACGCTAGCAATAACCCAATTACCATCACTGGTTACTTGTGAGTCTGTTCTGAGAAACTCTGCAGTACAATGTGTGTGTGTGCAAGGTAACAATTAATCCTCTCCTCTGTCATGTTTGTGAAATGCTCAGAGAGAGGCTTGATGTTGGTCTGGGCATGGAGGAAGTAGATCAAAAGTTAGGGTGAAAGCTGCAACTTCCTTTTGTAATCAAGTTAAGCAATGACTAATCTGGTTTTCCTCACTAATTGTTTCTTATGAAGGGTTTCATGGTAGGCCATGTTGAAATTAAAAGATGTTGTGGAAGTCACGTTACATGTATGTGGACATACCGGTACATCATGTACATGTACATGAACACGTATGCAGAATGAAATGTGTTCTATTATTTACAGGTATTGTGTTTTGTTTTGCATGGGTAGCACCATTAGTCATCAATGAACTGTTCTCCCCGGGGGCTTGGGTAATTCCCTGACTACATACGGCAGTTTGACAGTGAACTGACATGCAGTCTTATTTCATATTTCTAGGATTATGCTGTGGTACTGCACAATGTATCTCATATTTAGAACCAGCCCTGGGTGCAGAAAACTTGACCTTTCAAATCAGAAAAAATATGCATTGGCCAGATTTATTGTAAAATGAAATTGATCACCCGATGGAGTTTTTGCAGTGTCTTACATATTATTAAATACCGGTATTTCTCGCCCCAAACTCATCTCTTTGTCTCAAGCCTGTGTGAGGCTCTGCCTCAGGGCACTCAGTGTTGTCTACATACATTTACATGTACAATGATTGGCCATGATGAAATAGACCTGACTGCCTACATTGTGCCTTTGTGCACAAGCATGACAAGATAAATGGTAACCATTGAAGTGTGAGGGTGTGTGGTCAAGACATCTGCTACTATACTTCAAATCAATGCATCACAGATGCTACCGGTACATGTGTACCTCCATGCACATGAAGAAAGCCTCTGTGGGCGACATGTCTTCAGGTGCCAAGTGGTTACATTCTAAAAATAAGACAAAATATTGTGGAGCTGTGAATGTGTTCTTTTTGAGTCAGGATTGTTTTAAAATCTTGTTTCATGATGTCGTACGGGTACATGTATGTACCGTAAGTGTGTTTTGGGGCTGAATAGTACATATCATGACATCAGCACAAATCTAGCTTTTAAATATCATTTGGATTGGAATAAAAGTCCTGCTGTCTTTGATTTCTTTCAGTTTGCTTCTTCAACTTCATCCGTTTTTGAAATTTGTTGAGCTGATGGTCTGCTCATCGATTTTCCCATTGTAAATAACGAATTCCAAATAAATTGAAAAGGTCAAACCATATCAGCTGGAGTAACCATTATAAACCCAGTTACTTTTTTCTTTTTTTTTCAATTTCTTATTTACTGTCCACAGTTAAATCTCATCACCAATGAGTGACGAAATGGAAGAGAGCCCTCCTGCTCCACCCATGCGTTACACCAGCACCGGTGGGACGCTAAAAGGCGACGCCTCCAGCCCAGGATCCAAGCCCCTCCCAAGCACACCCACAGATGATGAGAAAAAGAAGAGAAAAATCAAGATGCCCTGGCAAGGCAAAAATGAAGACAAATGTAAGCACCAGTACATGTGCGAGTAATGCACATGTACATGTATGTTTGAAAGTCATATCCAGTGCAAATGCAACATGGTACAATGTGCCACCAAGCATGCCGAGAGGTTACCACAAGTTTTAAAGGCCATTTTTTTCAGTGCAGAGTGTGAAATGGTTGACAAATTCCACCAGCTTCGCACATGAAAGTTGATGTTTGTTGAAGTTTTGTAAGCGTATCAGTATTTCTCATAGTGGCATTTAACAAATCCTTTCTTTTTTCTGTTGCATGAAATGTCCCCCAGTTGTGCATACATGTACATATATCTGCTTACATGCAACTTGTGGCAAGCCGTCCATACTTTTGTCGACCGTAAACTTGAAAAATGGCCACCCTGTGGCAACCTCTCAATAACAGTGCATACAGTGTCCATGTGCATAATAACAATAACATGGAAGAAGTTCTGTACGGTACCCCTTTATACTCCATGCATACAAGGTACGTGTACCTATACAGGTACGCTGTATGTGGGTTTGCTTACAAGTGCAAAGCACAGGCGGAAGTTGCAATGTGCATGTACATCTACACCTGAATAGACCAATCCATTAATCCCTGTCCACAGGTGTTTTGACAAATCAAAGCAATAATGTCCCATGCACATGTACATACAGGTATGTATACATACTAAAGTTCAGCCTTTGTGCACACAGTTTGGACATGTACATGTATATGCACTATACTTGTACATGTATGTTGTCTTTATTTTAAATAGGGGGCCAAATGTGTGACATGGTGGTCAAAATTTCAAAATTGCCTAAACAAATTCAAAACTTTTGATATGTAATTGAAAAATCCATACAGGCAATAAATGTAAATGATTTTTGCTTTGAATAACTACTTGACGTGTACAGACTAAATTTGTGCAGTGGTGCAGGAAATTATTAGATGTTCAACAGAGAAACCAAATATGATGGTTCTATGCATGTTATTTTTGGTTAGTAAAGGTTTCTTTTCAACTGTTGCCAATTTGGTTTTGTACATACAGTGTACCATATATTCTCATCACAAGTTAATTTTTCTAGATATTGTTTCAGGTGGCATAAAAATGGGCAAGCATTTTCCCCAAAAATTCACTTTTGGGCTGTTTAAAAAATTATTTTGTAAAGTTTCATTTGATTTAACACAAAGTTGCTTTTGGCACAGCTCATTGGTATGCATGCCATTTAGCTTGCGCACCTTTTCCAGAAACATTAAGTGTTTTGAAGTTTTTAGTTTTTTTTAAAGAGCTTTATGACTCATTTCAGGGGTAACAGAGAAACCGGTTTCTTCGTTACACATGGGAAAACTGTCACAATACAGACATTAATTTACACCGGGAACTGCATTAGATTTGCTGTAACAATGGCAACAACATTTCATGTCTGCAGTCAATGAATAGTGATCTCAAATAAATTAAGGATACAAACATATTCTAAAACCTGTCCATTTTTCCGATGAATGGGAATTAATGCGAAACAATTTTGATCTCATAAAGCATTACAGTTGTCACCAAACATTGCGCATATTGCAGTGGCTTCAACATTTGTGAATAAAAAAGAAACCTTTTATAATGAAAATGTAAAAAAACTTAGGATTGGGGCATAAAAAAGAATTCTTGTTAAAGGAGAATCTTGTATTTAAAGTGCTGTTATTAACGAGGTTGGACTGTCATGACTGAACGGATAGGCCTATAAAAACTTGTCACGCACCCACTGGCGTACATGTAGTTGACAGTTAAAAACATAACTTGTCTTTACTGGATAATGAAGAAATTCCAAAGAGTTCAGAGTTGCAGAGATACCGTATGTCCACATTTTTATTCAAGTGGAATGCGAAGAAAGTGTGATGTCACGAAGCATTTATGCCAAAAAGGTCAACAAAAAAATCCCCATATCCAATTTTGTGATTTGAGCTGCATACTAATGTTCCGGTATGTTGATGATGTCACAGCACGCCGGCCCAGTGGACCATTCACAATATAGCACCAGCATGCCGAGTCGGCACGGCACACGCGCGCCGGTGACTGTTTCCTGAGAGGCACTGTTTCAATGTGGTCACTGCCACCAAATGTTCTGCGGCTCACAAGACAGTAGCCGGTGCACATGTACCGACTTGACACAGCATGCTGTGAATGGACCACTAGGTCGGCGTGTCATGACATCGTTAACGGACATTAGCATACAGGTAAACTCGCAAAATGAAAATGGTGATGTCGACAGGCGTTTCCGATTCGAAGGGTAAAAATATTTCCTTTCATACGCTCATTTTATTTGTAAGTTTTAAGTGGCTATCATGTTCTTTTTTGGCAAATACGTCAAGTTTCAGGTAAATTCTACCTTCATGTCTTGAAAAGAAACCCGCAACTTGTTACTTTTTGTCACCGCGTAACGTCTGGGTAACGAAAACTTAGATTGAAATTTCTCAACGATGAAGGAATGGCGGGAACTTGGCATGTCTGTGTCATGTGACGATCACGTGACAGGGCATGCAGGCTTGCAGTACGATCCCGACTCGGGCAAACATTGAAAGTTGCGCGAACTTTTTTGTTTACAACGTAACGATTTTGCGAGTAACCAAAATATTTTTTGACGAGATGAGACAGGTTGTCTTCAGAAATGTTTGAGATCCAGACACAAGTTAGTAGGAAGTATTTTGGGGAGTACTTAGAGTTGATATTTTAGGTTTTTCGAAATGATTTGCGACAGCTTTTTGTTTGTTTTAAGCAGCCAAAAATGATTCTAACTTCGTAACAACTGGAGGAGCGAAATGTTACGTTGTTATATCAGATTAAGATGGCACCTGTATTCTCAATTAAAATGAATTTCACTTGGAAGTTTATCCAATATGGTCATACATGTACACACACTTAACATGCTTAAAGGGACAATGAAATAGAAATATTTAACTAAATTGTACTAAAACCCTTGAAATTGCGCCTCCGAGTTGACCTGATTTGAAATTTTGTTTTGCAATTGTAACCCATATTTTGGAGCTTTTTTGGTTTGTATGCTAATGCACATTTGCCTATTCTTGAGAAGAACTGTGATAATCATCCAAGGCACCAAGCCTCCATGTTGCACTGATTTGTGCACAGAAAATTTGTAGATTTTTTAAAACACTGTTATCATAGATTTCATTTTCTGTGGTAATTTATTGTTGTGTAAGTACCGTTACATGGCAATAATCAAGCAAGCGACCTTTTCACATAAATGTTTTCAGATAGCAAATTTGGAGTTCACAATTTGAATATGAAAACATGCAAACTGAACCATGTGTTTCTTGATTTACATCCAAGGGAAAGCACCCTCACTTGTCCAGAAAAGCTTGTTCAATTTGGAATATTTAAAAGTGAACTTTTCAGTTCATGTAACTCAAAAAAAAGGTACTTAGTGACTCAATGTACATGTTGAGCTGTTTGCATTATTCTTTATTTCTTAATCTGTTAATCATCCTCTCTTAAAAAGTCAGTCTGCATACAAATGCAGTATGAAGCCAATAAATCTGTGGTACATTTGCAGACCTGTGCAAAACATTTCCTCATTGTTAATGTACATGTATGAATTGTACAATGTGTACATGTACTGTAGATAACCACAACTTGGTCAATAGTCAGCAGAGTTCAGTTGGTGGTGGTGCACTGGTACCAGTGGGTAGTACAATATGCAACACACTTTGCTTTGTTGACTGCCGTATGTGATACAGTTTTAAAGTGAACAACAGGAGCTCCCGCTCAAAGAATGGATGAAAATAGCAGTGATCAATTGTTAACATCGCTGATACCGTGTTTTACTCGAGCAGGAAATAATTTTTTTTCATAAGCACAGAGTGCAAAAAAAAAATCTCTTCACTTGTTCATTCCATCAAGGAAATTCTTGACACAAATTGATGGATCTTATCTTAATGCAGTCGGACTGTCCAACTTCAAACCCATTCATGCGTGCCGATGCATGCCATTTGTGAGGTTGAAGCACCCACTGTGCATGTGGAATTTCATTTTGTTGTGGATACCATTATGTTATGATTTAGACCTGCTCTTTCTCAAGTGCATGTACTGTACATGTACATTCATGGAGAGTGTGTACTGTATGGTACATTTCATAAAGTGCTGTGTTATCGGTATATGCTTCTACAGTGTAACGTACATGTACATTTTCATGCCAGTGGATATGTGTCTAACATGTCTAAGAATCAATGTGATGTTTTCATTTGTTTATAAAAATTTGCAAGGGTTTAGCTGTTAATACAGTACCGGTTACCGTAGTTGCTCTTTCAGCTAAGTTAATGGCAAAATTGATTAATTTGACTATCCTGAGAACTGACAGGGACTGATAATGTTTCGAGGAAGTGTTAACTCTAGAAAAATGAGCATAATCTGCATTTAGCTAAACCTTTGATGGCTCCAAAATTTCCGGGCTTGAACCTGTGTACAATGCACATGTGAAGACATCTTCACACGAATCTGCAGCAAGATTGCCCGCACACCCAGTCAGCCGTCTAGGACTGTAGCACAACACCACAGTAACGATGAGAGTTGACAGGACAGGAAATGACGGGGAAGTTTCGGTGTGTCCTCCTTGGAGGCTGGGGATCAGCAGAAACGTGTCTCATTACTCATGACAGTCAGGCCCATGAAGGGTTTTTATCAAGGTCATAGAGTAGTGAAATCTGTGTTGGATCTCAACCTCCTCCGCAGTCGGAGACAGCGTTCCCCCTTATGTCTAGGAAACTCTTCCTGTTCCTGTCAGCTTGAGCCATGTAGATGGAACAAAATCCCCCAAATCATTGTTCACATTTGTTGTGCTATCATTCACACAATGGGGAATTGATAAAAACTGAGGACTTAGATTTAAGTCATGCCCGCAAGGTTTGTCGCAGTGGCTTTTCACTTTGACATGCCATGTATGAATATAACGTGGGAAGCACATGTACATGTACATGTAAGCACCTACATGTACGTGTCAGATCATGAGGAAATCAGCTGATCAGAGGAAACGTTGCATGCCTGATGAGTTCACCCTTGCAGTTCTTCTTTTCATTTCCTCCCAATACTGCAAAGTTGTGAATTGTAGCCTTCTTTCTTAAGTACTCACTGTGCCTGAATTTTCTACTGTTATTGCAGGTTACATGTATGTGCAGTGTAGGCCCTACCTGTACATACACATGTATGCCTGTGGTGGTACATGTACATTTGTTTCAAAGACCTTCTGTGCTCAAAATTAATGTTCATGTTTATGTACGTGTCAGTAGGATGTTGATTATTTTTAAGACAACATTTGCTTTTAACGTGTTTTTAAAAGTATAAAGCACTCCAATAAGGTACTGGTACATGTGTACATGTACATGTACATGTACATGCAGTTCCAAAATACATGTGTAGACTTCCTGCATGCCCAGTCAAGCCAGTTGTGGTCGCCGTTTTCACATACAGTGTGTACATGTGCCATAAGCCTTTTGCGAGTTAAATTTGAATAAAATATGGGGTCGCCAGGCAAAAAGCATGCCCCGAATCACGAGGTAAATGCATAGCAACCATGTCTTTAGTCTGTGGAATTCAGAATTATGTTCACATGTATACGTGTGCAATCGGATAACTGAGTGTACCAGATTTTATTCAAATTTCACTCGCAAAAGGCTTATTTACCAGTATACATACCAGTACATATACATGAAATCTATCTTGCCAAACCTAGTACATGTACACATGCTTGATCACGTTTGTTGGAGTTGGACTGTGTTGAATCATTTTTGATCTAGCCTCCAGCCATGAAAAAAACAGTTGAGCAGATCGACCCTCATCGCACTTTTCCGGGGTGAAGATGGAAAACCGATAAGAAAATTCAAACAAGAGATTCGTGTACACTGTAATGTTCCTCTCCACACTTTGTTTTTCACAATAAAGAATGCCTACATGTAGCTTACTTTTCAAAGTTGTACATAATCACATACACCGTACCAATGTGTTTGTGTGTTCTTTACAGCCTCTAAGCAGCGGCCAGAGATCAGTTACCCCACCAGCTTTGAACACACCGTGCATGTCGGTTTTGATAGCGTCACCGGAGAATTCACGGTGAGACTAAATGGGGAGTGGGATCTCCAAATATGTTGGGGTATTGGGTGCGTTTGTTTACAAGAATGCATCTGATGTTTGGGTTAAGTTTTAAAGAGAAATGACATGGCATCAGCCATGTTTACATAACTTGGACATCTAGTACCTGAAAACTTCTATTGGTTCGCCATGGATACATGTACATCTATAAGGGCACCATGATGATATGGATTCCGTTCATGCATTTGCATATAATGTGGAAATGCCTGTGCTTGATACTGAACTTGTTTTGTGTACAAAAAAGGTGTGCAATTTGAGCAGGTTCCAACCGCATAGTTAGTACAGGTAACCGGTACATTTAATTGCAAATGCAAAACTGCTATTATTTCCCTCACAGGGTATGCCAGAGCATTGGGCCAAGCTGTTGATGTCTTCCCAGATCACAAAGACAGAGCAGAAAAAGAACCCTCAGGCCGTCCTCGATGCCCTCAAGTTTTACGATGACAGCAACTCCAACAGAAATGAGAAGTTCATGACTCAACAGAAGGTCATCCTGAGCAGTAAGTTCTAGGGGACCCGCATGAAGTTGTGTTATGTGGATTCCTAGTCAAGTAAAGTGATCTCATGTGTAATCCCCTTTGGATGGGGTGTGCTTAACCACGTGGAGACAGTATGATATTTGGCCTGGGAAAAAAAATCTTGATTTTTTAAAGTGCATAATGTGTGTTTCATCTTTTCCAGTACAGTCAAATGTGAATGTAAAATTTTTCTGACCAATAAGGCGTGGTGTTTTGGCACGTGAGCCTCAAGTTCATGAGCAAAAAAGTACCTACAAGTAACTAAACCATCAAAGTTTTTCTTTCCACTTTATCATTCAACCTTCACTTGTCCTTACCTGCCTTGACAACTCTGCAATGGTTATAATATGCAGAGACTAATCTTGCAAAATGTACATAAAATGTACTGCTGTATTCTACTGTACATGCTGTGAATGCACAATACTCTGTCAGAACAGTCCATGTTCTGTTGCTCTATTCCATATTAGGCGTGAATTCATAATTGAAAATAACGAATCTGTCAATTAGACAAACAAAAACAACAATGTGAAGTTTAAACTATTGGGCTGCATAATACCGAAGTATTTTACCGAAGATGGAAATGATACTTGCATTTATAGCAGAATATGAGCAACACACTTTGGTGTGGGTGTAAATGTTTCTTGACCATTTTGACTAATCTAAATGAAGTGTTTACTGATCTTTACAGGTAACAACAAGGGATCACTGGAAGACTCATTTGAACAGACATCACTCAATGCAGTGAGTATACGCTAGCCGCTCTTGTCTGTGTTGTCACTTATCCAAAGCAACCTTGTGTTGACAAAGTGATGACTTTTCATTGGAAATCTGGTCACTGGAATGGGCCAGTAGTCAGTACTTTAAATTCCTATATCTTTCTTATTGAAACGTATTGAAATGCTCTTGTCTGCGTTGTCATTTATCCACAGTAACCTTGTTTTGACAAAGTGATTTTGCAGTGGAAATCTGGTCACTGGAATAGGCCAGTATTCACTACTTAAAATTCCTGTATCTAATATTGACATTTCTGTGGGTAGTTATCTGTGTGTACATGTACATGTAAGTAACAACGATGGTTGTCAACATTTGTTTACCTAAGTGGTACATTTTCCACCATGTGTGTTTGAAGTGGTAGGTCATCAGGTCATTTTGATAGTGGCTTTTACCTGTAAAATGTGTTAATAAGGACAGACCACCGTAGGCAGTATGGTAAAATCTAGTAGTTTGTTTTTGTCATGATAGCTACCAGTGGCTTTCTAAGCCATGGTTTGGATGGTTTGTAGAAATGTGACTCATTTATGAAGGAAGGCAGAACACAGGCATGCAACTTTTTCCTCGGCTCAGCTGATTTCCTCATTTTTCACTTCACACTCATGCCACTGGAAAACGCTACAAAGTCTTTTAAAGATGGGAATTTCCTCATTTTTTGTCCAAATACAAGTTCCATGCCCAAGAATATCCGCATCTAAGTTGCTTGGCAAGTTCCAATTATTGTTGCTATACTGGGCGATTCGGGCAAGGTTTTGCTTTGTTACATAAGAGATGCCTTGCACCGGTACACTCTTTCCAGTGGATAAGAAGGGCACAAAGGAACCAATCCTTTCCAGAGATGGTGGTCGCTATGCAAAAGCTTGCCCTGAATCAAGAGGTATAGTGACAGTGTCTTTAGTCTGGGGAATTCAAATTGTTATGTTTATGTGCGGTAAGAGAAGACAGTGTACCAGATTTTATTCAAATTTAACTCCCGAAGGCTTATTGCAAACCAAGTGTCGGTTGTTGTACAATGTGCATTTTGGCCGTGGGTGCAAAGCATGAACGGCATACCAGTATGCATGTTATGATAGTCTTTCTAATGTCATTCTCGCTTGCAGAAGCACCCCCCAAAATCACATGACGATGAGGACGAGGATGATGACGATGAGCCAGCACCAGCCATTGCACCGAGGCCAGAACACACCAAGTCTAAGGTAAACTACGTGGGCATTTTTCAGGACACCGCTTTAGCTGCCATCAGAGGGTCAGCTCAATGGGCGTGCCCACAGCATGCTGGGAAGAGGCTGATCTCATACAACTTTTTGACACAGGACTCCCATGGTCAGAATCTTCAAAAGATTGTCCTGGAGAGTTATGGAAAATTGGGGAGAAACAGGTACCCTGGAATCCTGTCATCAGAGGAAAAAGAGTTATGGAAAGTCATTGAAATCAAGATTATTCAAGGGTCTTTTTTGATGGGCCATATGTAATGTGATAGCGGAATATTGAGAAATTCACAGGCTATATCCTTGTTGGTCCATTGTGGTGGCTGTGGTACTTCTCCAGTTCTTAACTCCAAAACAACTTCTCTCTGCAAAATGGTATTAAATGTCATTGAAACTGTCATATTTTAGGCCTCGGGAGTCTAGGCAAAGTCATGAAATTTGGTTTTAGATTTCTGAGGGAACCCTGGTTTTTGTATTTCCGAAACCAGGCTGATCTACATACATGTAGGTAATTTTGATGTTTGGCAATTCCCACTGCCCCCCCCATCTTTAATTTTCATACACATAAGGGCTCTGCAGCGCATATTTTGTTTCCAGAAAGCTGTGGTACTGGGTAGTTACATGTACGTGGAGTGAAAGTCGTGGAAGTTACATGTACGTCATTCTTGTTTCACGGCTGTGCTTGTTCTCCACAGAATGCATTTGTACAAATGGGAATTACTCAGGCATAAGAACAAGTAAAGACTCCACTGGGCGATACATGCAGAATTCACCTGAATCCTGTTAAACGCACCTGGTATTGTGAAAGAGGATTTACAGGTCTCCCAGCATGAAGTGGTGAATTGGAGCTCGATGGCTCATAAAACATTGTGGCAGTTGTTCCCTGTCCAGTGATGGACCATGGTATTCAGGAAAGGTCGCAAACTTACTTTAATAGTCTGTTGGTATTGTTTTTGCTATTTCTAGAGACTTCTGTTGAATCTAAGATCAATTTTGCCTGACTGTCAGATGTTAATGTACCGGTGTGAAACGAGTGAAGAAACAGGAAACCTTTGTACAGTATGCCTTTTTCTGAAAATGTCTGGCTAATGTCCTCCCGCCAGATATGAGTCACACTTCACTATAGTCCGACAGCTTGTTAAAATCCATGTGTGGTTTTGCTTACGCTTATGTTTTGATGAAGTCTTGACTGTACAGCACGGCCACTAATACCGGTATTTGTGTTTATGTACATGCCCGTACATTGGGCATTAACCCTCCTATGCTGAAGTCACTCTTTGGGTCAGTTGGTAAACAGCTGAAAGAAGCTGTGTTGTGTTGTGCACTGCACCAACTGTCCCTCACAGGAATATCAGATTGCACTTTTGTGCTGCCCAAGAACTGTGCCTCACTGTTTCATGTGCATCGTTGTGCAGCAAACCAAATGCAGTGAAGAGGACTGCACAAAAGACCCTGTGTCATTTTGTGTTGGCAACCAACTGTGTACACACTGAACCTGTGCATGTTTGTGTTCCATATAGAAAACACATGCAAGAGAGTGACTGTGGGCACTCGTGCATATTTGTGCTGTTAAACCAAGGAGGGTTAACTGCCCTGGTGTTGTCAACCACACAGTGACAGAGGACCTTGAAACACAACATGATCATCTACCGTATATGCCTACTCAGGCAAGGCTGATGGGTTAAAACGTTGAGCATGTCTTGAACACCCCCCATGTTTAAACAAGCTAATACCCCATTTGTTTTGGACACACAAAGTCCGAGAAGACTGTGAAGAGAGAATTACTGAATTGAACTTGGCTGCTGTGCAAAGCCCATGTAAATATCATTCTTGGGATGCGCCCAAAAGTGTTGAAAAACATGAGGTTTCAGTCAGAATTGTCATACAGATACTTTCAAATGACTCTAATAAGTCAGCATTTGTGATGTTTGTCTGTATGTGAAGAGTTGGCCGGTAAAATCTTGCCTTTCTCAAAGACAAAAATTTGGAAATAATGCCAACTACAAGTGCATGAAGTGCAAAAAGCATGGTTTAAGATTCATGTGGAATACCTTTGAGACATTCTCACAAAAAGAGTGCAGTATGAGTGAATGGTGTAACACTTCAACCTCCCTCCCCCATTCAGTATTACTCCAGGATTGAACCACCACCCCCCGAAGTTACCCCTGCCCCGGCCTCCCCTCCACCTGTGGCTACCACCAACAGTGCCGAGGGTAATGTGCAGAGACCCAGAGAGAGGCAGAAGAAGAAGAAGATGAGTGACGAAGAGATCTTGGAGAAGCTGAGTAAGTGATGGCGAGGAAAAGCCACGGACGTCATTTAAATAATTCAGACTCTTGGGGCCTGTTTGTTTCACGCGGATCCAGATTACAATCAGTGATCTGTCATTGGTTCACTGACTCCTGAACCTGCCTAATTGATAGCGTTTAGGTGCTGCATTGTGTCTCAGATTGCAACAAGGTTATGTGGTTGTGCTGTGTTGAATTCACTGCATATCATACATTATACATGCTGAAACTTGACAGTTGGGCTAATTTTCATAACAATGGAATCTTCATTACTATTTATGCCGTATACGTACAGTATTGCATGTAGGTGCAAGCTCCACATGTTTCTCACATATTTTGCCAGTGATGAAGCTTTGGCATATTTCCTCCTATGTAAGGTGAAGCACATGGCACTGTGGTCTGTGCCAACGACAATGGCAGATATGCATGCATATATATACATGCACATGTATAATGGGTCACATGGTGCAGTAGGAGGGTCCTTTAGCCTACTGTTAACTGCGTGGTTGTGGTCCTGCAATGAGACATCCTTGCGTAGTGGCCAAAATAAAAAGTTTTCTTTTGCGTTGTATTCACAGGGCAGATTGTAAGTGTTGGGGACCCCAAGAAGAAGTACACCAAGTGTGAGAAGATTGGTCAAGGAGCATCGGGAGTAGTGTACACAGCAATTGAAGTTGGAACAGGCCAAGAGGTGAAGCCTTTTTCGCGGAAACTCCTCCCCCCCAAAAAAAAATCGAGAATGCTTTTATGGCAGACCAACTGAAAATCAAAAACAGTCGATCATCTAGTACTTGATCTGTTGATTGTGAAAATTTTCTGCTTTTCCATTCCCAGAATGAAAAAAAAATTGTTCCAGAGATCTGTTTGGGCTGCAGAAGTCAGTTGCACTCACTTTCCCTGAAATCAATTTTGGTATGAGGAAACCTAAAGCCACACATTTGGCCCATGGAAACAGTTTGCTACAGTGGCTGCTCCAGGACAATGAAAAATGTGCACTTAATATGGAAGCCACACAGGAATTTTTGTTTTTACAGCTAAAAGAGGTGTTTTTGTCATATCAGATGTGTCATTTTGAATGCATCCCCCTCACTTTTTGCACATAATTTCATTATCAGGTGGCTATCAAGCAGATGAACCTCCAGCAGCAACCCAAGAAAGAGCTGATCATCAACGAGATCCTGGTCATGCGAGAGAACAAGAACCCCAACATCGTCAACTACCTGGACAGCTACCTGGTCGGGGACGAACTCTGGGTAAGACGAGAGTTGCAGTTGCCTCTTACAAGAACTCAGATATGGCGCGTTGCATGTATGGGTTCATACATGTGCATGTTTGGCACGGCAGATGTGGAGCGCTCGATAACAAAGTCAGCATAGGTCTCTCACGGGCCACCTAGTCTCTATTCAATCATAGATATACCAGTGAGCAGTAACAAAGGTATTCTTTCTCATTGTCAGTGGCTAAGTTCTGCATTAAATAATATAGGTCTTGATCTCCTGGGATCTGGAAACACAGAAAACATGTTCTCTCTTTTTGTGCCTCAAATGGACATTTTCACCATTGTTTTTACAGATTTGTATATCATATTTTCATGTAGTATTCAGTAGTTGTACTTATTATTTGGTGTTTTGATAATTCTGTTAATGTTTTGTAAATAAGTCGCTTTTCCTTTGCACGGACGCAAGCCAGAGTTGACTAGCCACATGGCTGTCAAAACATGCCACTATGATATGAAAAGTGAAATGTCGGATTTCCTGATGGCATGGTATTCCAGTGTACCCAGATTCTGAATCGTTAATATTGATAACAATGTCCTTTCTACTTGTGTGTGTGTTTTTTTCCCAGGTTGTTATGGAGTTTTTGGCAGGAGGTTCTTTGACTGATGTTGTTACTGAGACGTGCATGGACGAGGGTCAGATAGCAAGTGTTTGTAGAGAGGTGAGCAAAGGGGAGAATTTAGGGCTGTGCCGAATGTATGAATAACCGAATATCTGACTGATTGTTGAATATTATTCATCAAATTTGAATATTGGAATGCAAATTCTTGAAAAAGGAAGGGAAAATTTTCTTTGTTTTTAAATAAAAAATTGCACTATGGAGGCGTGTTTCAAGCAGATTCAAATGAAAAGTGACAAAAAGCGTACAACAACAAAGTAACTTATTCATTAAACAATTTAAAAGGAATAGAAATTTTCAATGGCAAGAAGTCTTGTTCATCTCTTATATCTTGCTAAATCCTGGCTGGAGATACTCTTAGATGTGAGAAGTTATTATGCTATTATATTGATTGTAATGTACAATTGTGTGTGTTATTGCAACTGATTTTGTGTGCGGTTTATTCATCAACAATCTGCTGGTCGGTATGACCGAATTTTCGGATATGCGATCAAATTGAAGGTCGAATATTCAAATAGTGGATTATTTGAATCGACTCAGCCCTAGGAGAGTTGAAACTATCTCATGTTATATTTCCACTGGTCAATTTTCCTTGTTAACCCCTGCAAAAAATACACCAGTGATGTCAGGCAAAACTCATAGCCAAACCCAAACCCACTTGAATTTATTTTCGATATTTTCATGTTTCAGGTATGATTTTCATATAGACTCCAAGATCATATCATCTACAAATTTAAAGGGACCATGAAATAGAAATATTTTACTAAATTATACTAAAGCCCTTGAAATTGTGCCTCTGGGTTTCAGTTTACCTGCTTTAAAAGTTTTGTTTTGCAATTTTAACCCAAATTTTGGAGCTTTGGGGTTTTTTGCCAATGCAAATTTGCATATTCATGAGCAAAACTATGATGACATCCAAGGCACTAAGCCTCAATGTTGCACTGATTTGTGCACAGAAAATCTTTAGATTTTTTTTAAAAACTATTGTCGTAAATTTCATTTCCTTTAACAATTTATTGTTGTGTAAATATATGGCAATAATCAAGCAAGCAACCTTTTCACAGAAAAGGTTTCAGGTAGCAAATGTGGAGTTCACAATTTGAATGTGAAAACTTGCAAACTGAACCATGCCTTCCTTGATTAAAATCAAAGTAAAAGCCCCCTCATTGTCCAGAAATGGTACGTCTTTTTGGAATGTTTAAAAAGTGCACTGTTCAGTTCAGGTAGCTTAAAAAAAAGTCAAACAGTCTCCATACATTTAAGTAGAGAACAGAGATACACAAAAAGTGATTCTAAGAAAAAAATTATTTCCTGGATCCTTTGATAAGGTAAAGGCCCGAAGGCCATTATATCTCAGTTGCTTTGCAGTGCAAAAGCTAGTGAGGTATTTGGATTTCTTACGATATCACCTTTCTAAAACACCCGTATCAACAAATCTGGCTAGTAGATTAGGAGCCATCTCATAACTCACCATGAGAAGCTGTTGACATCTTGTCAAGTCAGGGATGCAGAATTCTTTATCCACAATATTCCTTAAGTCGGTTGGTTCACATAGTTTCTCTTAACTGTTGTTTGTGGGTCCAGTTACCGCACATACATACAACATGCACCAAGTTGAAAATGGTGGGGTTCAACCCCTTAGTTGGTTTTACACGGAATGACTTTGTAGAAAGAGAGGTGACTGAGGCTAGCTGGCGTCCCTGCTCATCATATATGGTTGCATCTCTTCCTTTCCTGGTAACCCGTATATACTTACAAGATTTCATGCGGTAGTGACCCTTGTTGTGTTTCAGTGCCTGCAAGCTCTGGAGTTTCTTCACCGCAATCACGTCATCCACAGAGATATCAAGAGTGACAATATTCTTCTCGGCATGGACGGCGGTGTCAAACTCAGTAAGTGGTCTTTCCTCCACAGCTTCAGAGGACGGACTGTGATAGCTACATTGTTCTTTTGTTGAACTACTATTCTCTAGTAGTTGTTTGCTCAAACACAATGAAGCAGCAATTCATGTGATTTGTTCAGCTCGGCAGACTACCCATTTGGAGGGAGTAAAACGGTCCAGTTGGATAATCTGTCAGTTCAGATCCATAATACCACACTAGACAGCAGAAAGCATCAAGCCCTTTGCTGAGTAACAGTGTTGGAATGAGTAGGCACATGTCCATCAAAAGACTTCCAAACTGTGTATCGTGTAAAAACAGTTTGGTTCCTAAGAAAAGTATTGTTGCCTTGAAAATCTGATAAGAGCTGCTTTTCAGAGACAAACCAACTTTTCACATTCATCTAAGTGCCAAAGTGAAGTTTGTTTTGGCTGTCATATTTAACCACTGCATAAGTTGAAATGTGTGGAAAGTGGTCATAGGCACCAGGAGTGCCGAAAAATATGGTCCTTTCATTCCAGTTGGCCTTTTTAAAAGCAATTTTCCTTGAAGATTATTAAGATTGTCAATCACAACTGAACTCGTGTCCTCTTGGTTGGCGCCTACAGCCGACTTTGGGTTCTGCGCCCAAATAACCCCCGAGCAGAGCAAGCGGACGACGATGGTGGGCACCCCGTACTGGATGGCCCCTGAGGTTGTCACCCGCAAGCAGTATGGGCCCAAGGTGGACATCTGGTCACTGGGCATCATGGCCATCGAGATGATAGAAGGGGAGCCGCCCTACCTGAACGAGAACCCCCTCAGGGTGAGTCAGTCGATTCCTGTCGACAAGGCAAAGTGATCTCTCTGTGCAAGGCCCTGATTAGTGTCCGTACAATTGAGGTCGAAGCACCAGGTGACCGCTCAGTGTGATTCCCTGAGATCAGCCACCACGACAGCAGGCAATCAATTGGGGAGCAACCGTATGTCATACGTTGTAAACTAGACAGTGAAGCTCATTTCCACAGAAATTAACCATGGATTCTTTACTAAGGGAATAAATACATGTATGTGATCAGGGAATGAATGCTGATAATGTCCCTTGCCTTGGGTTCGGGCATTATCAGCATCCACTCACCTAGGCTGGCCAAGCACATAGTTATTCCTACATGTATTTATGAATACCGTTTGAGCTACAAACTCAAATTTAGTTTCAAAATTATAAGTTTTAAATAACCTTTTTTTTTCAACAGTTTTGCCTCGATTTTTTCAAATACCCATCAAGCCTCCTTATGGTATGCTCCCCTCTGCAGTTAGTTGTAAAAGATTTCCTAATATGGAGGTTGGTGCACGCATGGAGTGCGCTGTGTGTTGATTAAAGAGCCATTATGCTAGGGCTATTCCGTTTCTTAAAGCTAAACTGGAGATTCAGTTTGATGCATTGTATTTATGGTCAGGAGCTTTATTGACACTGTGGGTTTCACTTCTTAGCTGTAACAAAAAATGACCCGGAAGTTCGCGAAATTTAAGCATGAACTGAGGTAGCAGACTACTGTATCTATGTCCATGTTTGTGTCAGCCGCGATAAAGCACTTCCACGTCGTTCCACATCGTCGGGAACAGTTTGGCAGCGCTGCCTGCGTCTCTCTAGGTCAGTCTGGGAACTAGGCTCAATAAGTACCCTATCTTGCACAGAAAAGGCTGAGTGGCAATACACAGAAATGTGTTCACATTGCAGGCACTGTACCTGATTGCAACCAATGGCACACCAGAGATCCAGCACCCAGAGAGGTTGACAGCTGTCTTCAAGGACTTCCTCAGCAAATGTCTAGAGACTGACGTTGACAAGCGGGTTGGTAGCAGTGAACTGCTGCAGGTATGTAAACTTTCCATTTTCTAAGACAACTTCTACCCGGTGAATAGACATGACAGATAGGTAAGGTAGAAAAAGCCTTTGTTCGGCCAATGTAAACGTCTCCCCCATCCCTGAAAAATGACGGGATTATCTCCACTCTATGTCAGTGAACAAGAGGCAATGTCAGCTGATGCTTATAATCACCATTTCATGAAGGGACACTTGGGCCCCAAATCTTAGGGGTTCTTTGGCAAAATAGGCTATGCAATGCCTACAACTTCAAATGGTGATCAATTTTTACCAAATCTGCTGAAATCAGTCAAATCATGGTTTTCTACGTTGGGCAGATTTTAACTATACCGCATTTTGTGTTTTCGTGAAGAGGTAAATTTGTCTTCCATAGACACAGCGTTAGCAACAAAGGGCAAATTTTTGGGCAAACTCATTTTGCAGTTTTCATGTAGAAGCGAGTTGAGTTTGACGCTGGCAATGTATACAAATGTAACAATTTTGCACCTGGCACATGCTATAGCATGCTATGACAAAAGTCGTGTGAAGTTTAGCATTTTCACAAAGAGGCAAACTTGTTTGTTTACAAAATAAACAAATTTAACCACTTCGTGCCGGGGCATTTTTCAATGTTGATGATGCTGGGCCGGCATGACTGTCATTTTTTCCGTTCAAAAATTCATCATTCCATTTAACGGTCATTTATAGCCACACCAAGTAATCCTCAGGCACTAC